AAAAAATAAAAAATGACACTAACTCTCAAGATTGGCTTTGCAGAGAACAGGCAGTCTCTTAAAACACCATTCTTTTCAGTCGAGGATGAATTGAGGCTACCAACATACTTAACTCTTGACATTGAGCCCACTGGGCATGGTGGCGTAGGGGTTTTCCTGCTTTTGATGGACTTCTTGTAACTACACTTAACACCATATTGGTCTATAAAACACCTATCAGCAATCGTATGTTTTTGAGGTTGACTGACCAGTAAAGCAAAATGCGATTAATGTAAACTTGATTATACTACACTATGATAGGACGAAATGAGGGTCCTCTGATACCAGAAAAGGCTTTCTTGGAAGCTAAGTCTTTTTTTTTTTTGAGACAGAGTCTTGCTCTGTTGCCCGGGCTAGAGTGCTGTGGCATCAGCCTAGCTCACAGCAACCTCAAACTCCGGGGCTCAAGCGATCTTCCTATTTCAGCCTCCCAAGTAGCTGGGACTACAGGTGTGTGCCACCACACCTGGCTAATTTTTTCTATTTTTAGTAGAGACAGGATCTTGGTTATGATCAGGCTGGTCTTGAACTCCTGACCTCAAGTGATCCTCCAGCCTTGGCCTCCCAGAGTGCTAGAATTACAGGTATGAGCTAACCGCCCCCACCCAGAAGCTAAGTCTTGAAGGCAGGAAATTAAATTGTCAGGTTGACATGGGGAGGAGAATCTGGTGTGTATTTTAAACACAGCAGGTCACAGCATAAGTAAAGATACAGGCACAAAATTACTGGGCATATTTGAAGACAAGCAAATTGTCTAGTTTGGTGGAAGTGAAGGGTTTGTAGAAGGGATCAGAGGGAGATAGGGCTGGAGAGATAAGTACGAGTGAGATTGTAAGTTGAATACCAATTTAAGGAATATGGATTTAATTTGGTGACAATGAGGAGCCATTGAAGATTTAAAATATCGATATGATCAGATTTGAAATCGATATGATCAGTTTTAGAAAGAGCTGGCTGCAGTGTGAAGGAAGGATTGGACACAAGATGACAGCAAGGGCCGGGCGCGGTGGCTCACGCCTGTAATCCTAGCTCTCTGGGAGGCCGAGGCGGGCGGATTGTTTGAGCTCAGGAGTTCGAAACCAGCCTGAGCAAGAGCGAGACCCCGTCTCTACTAAAAACAGAAAGAAATTAATTGGACAACTAAAAATATATAGAAAAAACTAGCCGGGCATGGTGGCGCATGCCTGTAGTCCCAGGTACTCGGGAGGCTGAGGCAGGAGGATCGCTTGAGCCCAGGAGTTTGAGGTTGCTGTGAGCTAAGATGACGCCACGGCACTCTAGCCCGGGCAAAACAGTGAGACTCTGTCTCAAAAAAAAAAAAAAAAAGATGACAGCAAGGAGGTTATAACTGTAATCCAAGTGAGAAATGGTGGCCTGGACCAGAGCATAGATGGGTGAAATGGAATGGATTTGGGAGATTCAGTAGACAAAGTCTTATTGGTCTTGGTGGCTGATTTGATGTGGGGTTGGGGAGGTGAGAGGTAGAAGCCTAGGATGACAGGCAGGGCTACAGTTGGCTCTGTTTAGTACAATAGCTCCTAATACCCAGGTCTACCTAACTCACCAAAAAGGCATTCTCATTCTCTCCCACACCTGCCATCCACCACTATCTCCACACCTTTACTCAAGTTCTTCCTTGATGTTTGGGATGTACGTGATGCTCCTTCCTTCCGATCCATCTTTTCATATATAGCTCAATTCAATTTTTTCTGTCAAGTCCTCTCTTAAGCTAGATCTAACCTACTTCTCCTTTTATATCCTGCCCCCGCACTGATGTGAGCCATTCAGTGGAAAGAGTGGGAAGTAGGTGGTTTCTTAAGAATCAGGCAAAAGGCTCATGCTGAGTTTGTGTCCTAAGTATATTGCTCAGTGCATGGGCACTGATGTGGGGAAAAAGGACCTATGTAAACGGGGATGGGAGCAGGGTGCCGAGACTTCCGTGTCAGGCAGTGCACAGAGTTTCTATACCCAGCCTGGCACAGACGATTGGCAACATCATGAATTATCCTTCTGTTGGTAGATGAACAAACCAGCCAGTTGTTTGTGTGTTCATCACTAGGAATGCCCACCCCTCCTCAGACGACCTAAGTCATACCCATGCAAACCTTTCAGGCCTTGCCCTCTCCTAAATTCTTCAGGAAGCTTCCAAGGTGACTCTACCCTTCAGGTCCCTTTTTTCCTGTAAATTACGTAGGTGACAATCAGAGACACACAGGTCACTAGAACATATGGTATCTTCCATTTTTCAATCTGGCCTAATATGGGGGGCGGGGTAAAAGGACAAACATGCAACCGCTTCTCTACCTTTTTAACCCAACCCCCCGCTGACACTCTGTCCCAGTTCTCAGATGGACACCGGCCAGAGGAGCTGGGGAAGATCAGAAGCCCCTGGGGCCTCACACCAGTTGCAACGAGGCCAGTCATACACCTCGCCCTAGAAATGCACGAGGGATAAACCAACCTGGAACGGGTATACCTCGAAGCCAAAAGGACACAGTGTGTCCTCAATCTTCTGCTTCAGCTCTGCGACTCGCGGCTCCATAGCGCACGCTGTACGCTGAGCTTGCTGGGGAATGGAGTCTCAAAGATAACAGGACCGTTACGTTTAGAGGACACTTGGACTCCATTTCCCAGAAAGTACTGGGACCAGGAGCGGGACATCGCTGGCCCTGCGCGATGCATCTTGGGGCGCGTAGTTCGTTTGGCCCTCGGAGCCAACCACAGCGACTCAGTAGGACTCGGTTTCCCGGCAGGCCGCACGGTGGGGGTGTGGATGCACGTGTCGCTCCAGGGAAACGTAGTTTAGCTGCCTCCATCGCCCGTTGTCTCCGCGAGAGGCCTACTCACTTTCCCAGGTGGCCCTGCGGCAGCCAGCCCTATGTCAGATTTTCCCCACCTACCCAAAGATTTGAACCCGGCCGCGGCAGTTGTCGCTGGCACAGGTTTGGCATGATGGGGCCAGTGTCCTGGATCTGGGGTGGTCTCGACGAAGGTTCGGCACCTTCAACTCCCACCTGATATCTGCATATCATCAGGGTATACCGCTTTTCCCCCAGTTCTCCCAAGAGCGCCGCTCCCTTCCCTAGTCGCAGAGTCGCAATTTTGGTCTGATACTGCATCCCATACTCCTAGTATTGCGTCCCCATTTCCCTCTTTCGATCTAACGTTGTGGCCTTTCCTGGGCTGTACCTCGGGTATCCCCTGCTGGGAGAGCAAGGACCCAAGACACCAGGGACCCGGATCCCTGCCACAGGATATGAGTAGGAGGGTGAGCTGGTCTGAGCAGCTTGATGCGCTTCTCAATGCAACTGATGGAAATGTGGCTCGGATTAAGGTGAGGGGTTGGCGGAGGCACCCAGCTTGCGTGACCACGTTAAGGGACTCTCAGAGCTCATTGGCCTGAGCAACTGTTTCTTTTGCAGCAGCGACTGTATCCTCTTGGGGTCTCCACGGCAAGTAAGTATTGTTCCATTCTACTCCCAGCCTTTTCTCTTTCCAAGATCTGCCCTCTTCCAGGGTCTGTATCATCCACTGCTCTTTCCAAATTCCCCGACTCTTTCCTTCCCTGAACTCTGTTCCCCCACACAGATAGACCCTGCACTTATCCCTTCCTTATTCCCTCAGCAGGGGAGCTGCCTGGGACCTGGATTTCCTCTCATGACTTGCCTCCCCAGTTAGGAGTCCAAGCTCAACAGCCTTGGGCTCTAGAGACTCCCACAGTCCCAGAGGGGCTGAGCTGGACTGAGGCCTACAGCCCTTCCCATCTCCGGGATGAAGTTACTATTCTCCAATCCCAGCTTCGATCTCAGACTCAGGTGAGGCTGGGAACCCTAGGTATGTATGTGTGATGTTTGTGTGAGATGAGAATACTAGGGCTTGGGAAAAGCTTCTTACACAGTAGCTGATGTGTTTTTTTCTGCCTGGGTAGGTAACTGAGGCACTAAGGCAGGCTGTACAAGGCTTGCTGGAAGAGCGACAACAGCAGAAATACCAGATCAGTGCCCTGGAAGGTATCTGGCCCGTTCTTTTCTTCATACACACAATACATATGTATGTACACAATTTTGCCACACACCTGTTGTGTGTGCACATGTGTCTTGATTTGCAAGTAGAGTGTCAGGCTCATGTGTGAAGCTCTTAGAGAGGCTGACCCCCAACTTGTCCCACTACAGCATCACTAAGGTTGCTGCAGGGGGGTCCAGAGGGGAGGGCTCTTCTTGAGCAACGCCTGGAGGAGCTGAGAAGGGACCTTCAAGGCCTTCGGAGCCAGGTGCAGGAGCAGGCCCAAGTCCAAGCCCAAATGCAAACAGGACCATTAAACTGCAGCACTAACAGTGGCCTTCATCAGGAGCTGCAGATAGAGTAAGTGATGGGCAAGACTTTGCCTTCTTGGGGGCCTCTGAACTTGTGGCATTCTGGGAGGCTGGTGGCCTCCTCACTCTGGATTTGTTGACTGATACCGCCAATGCTTCTGCAGGCAGCAAAGGCTGTGGGAGGAGTCAGAGATTCTGCAGGAGGAACTGGAGTTGCTGCGGGACCAGCTGAGTAAGTAAAAGATTGGGAGTGAATATGTCTTCCCTCGTCCCCTTTTCTGAAAAGCCTTCTTGCTCTCCCGTTAAGTGGCCTTAACTTAACTGACTGCTTGAGCTACTGAGAAGTCTGGCCAAGTATTTTGTCTTGCTCTTTGTCTCTCATGATGCAAGTTTAATCTCTTCAGTCAGCTTGGAAGCTTCCCAACAGCTGGACCAGCATGCTTCTGTCTCAGTTTTCAGCAACAGGCTGGTCACAAGGCAGGGAACGTGAAGGAAAGAAGTTGAGGAAGAGCCCTCTTATGTTCTCTCTCACCTGCAGACCAGCACCAGGAGCTGCTGCTGAAACAGATGGCTGAGGGGCAGCAGATTCAGGCCTGCAGCTGGAAGGTAGGACCAGGATTGTACCTGTCTCTGCATATTTCTCCATGGAGGCCCCTTCCTTTCTCTGACTATCCTGTTTGGCAGGCAGGCCAGGATACCCTCTCATGCCCCCATCTCTATCCCTCCTTTCCCTGTGCTGACTCCACCCCTCTCCAAAGCTCTTCTTCCCAGTCCTTCTGCTCTAGGCCATGAGAAACTGTCCTTGGCCACATGAGAGTTCCAAGTGTGCTGAAGAGGACAATCATGGGGAGGGGAGAGGGAGAGGTTTGGTCCTACCTGAGCCTGTGGTCTGGCAGATGTTGGAGCAGCTGAAAAGTGGCCAGGAAGGCAAAGGTCACACCCTGGAAGCTGCCAGGACAGAGGCCCAGGATGTCCGGCAGGAGCATGACCTCCTCAGGTCAGGGGGTATGGGTGCTGTGGCAGTAAAGGGGATTTTTTTCACAGAGGTCAGGCACTGGGGACCAAAGTTCAGCTATCCTAGATTTTGGCCTGGGCTGGTAGAGGTGGTTTCTGGGTTGTAGCCTATAAGGGCAGCATTGGGCATTCTTTACTTGATACAGAGTTACTGAGATGTCTTTATATATATGGATATAAAGACGGAGGAGACTCAGGAAGGAGGACAGTTCTGTGCTGGGAGGGCCCCCTTGACATATCGTCACTGTGTCTGCCTCTGATTCTGTTCCCCTTTCCAGGACCTCCGTTCATGTCCTCCAATCTAAGCTGCCCCTGGCCACCACCTTTGCCATATCTCTTTCTTCATCTAGCTCAGAAGTCAGTCTTCTGGACAGTAACAGTAGCTGGGAACTTTTATGGAAGCTAGGTGGGGGTAAGAGCAGGGATCCCAGTTTTGGGGGAGGCTGAATCTGAATGGTTCTTTAATGCCAGCTGCCTAATTGTTTAGCATTGGGTAGAATGGAGTCTCTGCCTGTTTGTGAATTCATTGATCTCTGTTGCTACTTATCTCAAGTTAGGCCTGTATGTCCCTCCCTATCACGCAGGCTCAGGGCCTAGTTCTGTGCATATCATAGTGCTTGCTGATGATTTGCTTTCTCTTCCCTTTTCCTTCCTCTTAGATCTCCAGAGGAGCACCCTTTCTAACTTGGAGCCCAGCAGCTTTCACCTCTACTCCCAGAGTCTTGAGCAAGAGACTTTCCCTCACAGCCCCAAGATGCTCCTGAGTGACCTATAAGGACTTATGAAGAGTAGTTGGATGAAGGCTTCATTGCCCACGCTCCCCTCCAAGGCCCTTTTTCTAGGCTACCTGCTCCTCCCCTCTTAATCTAGCTGTTATCTGCCCTCTCTACTGAGACTTTTCACTGCCTGCCCATCCCTGTCCAACTGCAATAAAATAGTTTAACCTTCCCTGATGTATTTTCTGTAAATCGGCACCCACATGGGATAGACTAGCTGTACCTTTTCTTGCTCCTGTTACTTGACTGCTTCCTGTGACCTCTACCATGGAAATCCAAATTCATAGACACTTACAGCTGTACCTTCTGCGTATAAGCTCAGTTGAACTTGGAAAGAGGTGGGAGCTCCCATTGTGGTGAGTAGAATGAGGTAGGACACTGCTCTGGGGCAGTAGTGCTGTGGGGATGCAGACGGTGAGATATTCTGGTGAGACCTGGACCTAGAGATAGTAGGAGGCTTCCTTTCCTTATCTCTAGCTTCTGCATTTTGAGGTTCACTCCAGCCTCTCCACACCTCCTCATTCTCAGCAGCCCAGCCTGAATTTCTATGGCAGCCTTCTCCACGGTCTCTCTTTCAGTCTCTCTGCCTCTAACTGTGAGGCTTTCAGAATTTTTCGTGTGACTCCAGTAAGAAATACAGTTTATATTGTGACTTAGTGTAATAAATATACTGAAACAAAATTTTCATGACTCAATTCTTATTCTTTTTTTATTTTTAATTGAGACAGGGTCTCACTCTGTTGCCCAGGCTAGAATGCAATGACATCATCATACCAACCCCAAACCTCAAACTGGGGGCTCAAGTGATCCTCCTGCCTCAGCCTCCTGAGAAGCTGCGACTATAGGTGCTCACCACCATGCCTGGCTAATTTTTTTATTTTTGTAGAAACAAGGTCTTGCTGTTGCCCAGGCTGGTCTCAAACCCCTGGCCTTAAGTAATCCTCCTGCCTTGGCCTCCCAAAGTGCTAGAGTTATAGGCGTAAGCCACCATGCCCACCCTCAATTCTTATTCTTACTATGAGTGATGCACTTTGATAATTTCTTTTTTTTCTTTTCTTTTTTTTTTTTTGTAGAGATGGGATCTTGCTATGTTTCCCAGGCTAGTCTCAAAGTCCTGGCCTCAAGTGATCCTCCTGCCTCAGCCTCCCAAAGTGCTGGGATTAACATTCTAATATTTTGATTATATTCCATTTAAAAAATGCCTTGTGGCTAATGATTCTGATCCTTTTACCACTTAGTTGCTGTCTGGAAAGTACAGTGACCCTTGAACAACATGGGCATGAACTGCAAGAGTTCACTTATATGTAGATTTTCTTCCAACCAAACATGGATCAAAAATACAGTATTCTGGGATGTGAGACCAGTATATATAGAAGGCTGACTTTTCTTATGTTCCTCAGGGCTGACTTTGAGACCTGAGTATACACAGATTTTGGTATATTCTCAGCGTCCTGGAACCATTCCCCAGGGTATACCAAGGGACGACTGTACATCTTTCTATGTGACTAAGAGCACCTTTACTTTCTCCTTACTGGGCTTTGTGTTCTAGACAGTATTATCCAGGATTTCCTTAGAGGCAGTAGCATCTCACTGAGGCCTCATAAGGCCTCTTCTACTGCTAAATGTAGTCAAAAGATAATGCCATCTGACCACCAGTGGATGTTTACTGAGAGCAATCCTGTCATGTATTTTCCCTGAGCTAAGATGTGCAGTGGGCTCATGTGAAGGTCTCAGTTCTCAGATCAGTCTGGCTGGAGAGAGGAGACAATTATCTGAAATAAAAGCATAATAAAAGGCTGAGGTGAGTAGGGTAGGAACTACCTTCAGTTATGGGGTACATTCAAGGCCCTGTCCTGACTAGCAGACAGGTCATGGGGAGAAGGCCTTTAAGGTAAAGGGCAATCTTCAGTTCTTTCAGCATTGTAAGACTGTGAGAGTGGAATGACAAAGATCAGACATGGGTCAAATAGACCCAATTTAAAAAAACAAAAATGTCTCATCAAGCCTCATCTTCCTGCTGAAGCAGATGCAAGAAAGCCCTGTCATTTACATCTTTCAATGGGCAGGTGATACATCTGGCATGGTGACATTATTCAATTCTGCTTTCTACCAGTGCTTATTTATCAACTACTTTGCATCAAGCTCTGTGGGAGACAGGCTTGTAAGGGATTCCAAGGTTCTCACAACAGAAATAATAAATAGCAAGGTGGAACAATGATATTTGAACTGTCACCAGGTGGCAGCACATGATTTGTTGCCAGAAGAATGGTAACAAAAAGGCTTTGGGGCCAGGGAGACTGGGCTGGGCTGTTTTCTCTCTCAGAGATCCTGTGAGCTATCATTTAATCTTCCTAGAACAGTGCCCTGTTTAGGTTACACTCCTGCTCAAGAATAGCTCTCACAGCATAAAATTAAAGCACAAATTTGGCATTTAAGCCCAATGCACGTTCAGTCTCTTTTATCTTTAATATCTTCTACCACACATATTTCTCAAACTTTATAGTCACCAGGAATGCACACCACCTTATACTTCAATGATTTAATCCCATTCGTCTGTCAAGATCCCCCCATCCCCCTTCCAGGAGGAGGGAAGTCTAAAGATACCTGAAAGAAGGTTTCTAGCCATAGGGAGTGCTGGGGCAGTAAAGCACAAACTTCACGGTTCCTGTCTGCTCTTGCCCTTCTCCTGTTCCATTCTGTTCAGGTATGAGATTATGAGTTCCTGAGGTTCAGGCATACGGAAAGCGTGAGAAAATATGTGCTTGTTGAACAGTTGGAGAGAATTCTTATTCCCCACCCAGCTCTTTCAAAGTCTCTTCTGTTTTCAAGCTAGCTCAAGTGTTATTATACCTTCTCTAAGCCGTCACAACAAGGAATCTTTCAGCATTTTGTTTAGCTCTATTCACTGCTCTTACTATCTCAAGTCGCTAATAATTTATGTATCAGTTTTTTCTCCTTACTATACTGAGATACTGCAGGACGCCTCATTCTTACGGCTTTTCCTTACTCAGCTATACCTTGACCAACCCGAATGCCGCGCGGGTCTAGTCCATTTTCAATTGGCTTTATCAATTACTAATCGCTTCTGTGTTTAGCCTTTTGATTGGTCTATCTTGTGTTTACTGTCCCTCCCTCCGAGAGGCTCCAGGACTTGGGTTTCCCCCAGGTGTATTCCCTCCTTCTCGGTTCCGCCTTTCCAACACACTGCCTCTTCTGTTTTTACCTCCTCTTCTTTCCTATTGGTTCCCTTCGTCCTCCAGAGTTGGTGCCTAGGGCTGTTGATTGGCTTTTCTGGACGCCCATTGTGCCCACCCTCATACCACGTGGCATTCCTAACGCTAATTGGGCAATTCCATTACCTCGTTTATCAAGGACTGACGATTGATTGGCTGCTCAAAGGGAGGGCTCGAGGAGTGGGGCGGGGCCGCTGCGCCCCCAGCTTGCTTGTAGAGGTGGGCAGACGTTTCAGTCGCTCGCGGCCGGGGAGGTCAGCGGAGCTAGCAGCTGGCCTCTCGGTCTCGCGGGTCGGATAGTCCTCCTGGCCCAGCCAAACAGACGGGGTGGGGTAAGCGGCCCGACTGTGGGGCCATGGCAGTAGCCTCCTCGTCCTCCGCCGCCACTAGCCCCATCGCGTCGCCAGCTTCTGGGCGAGGGACCCCCACCGCTTCCGCAGGCTAAGGAGCCACTGCCGCCACCGATCTGTGAGGGTTACTATGCTCCCTCTTTGCCGCCGCCTCCCCCTCCCGCCCGCGCAGGCACCCCTCTGGCTGTTCAGTCCTGCCTCAGGTAACGTGAAGAGTGCGTGGGGCACAAAACCCGGGGGCATCCCGGCCCGCGCGCGCGGCTGTTACACCTCTTCGGCTCGAAGCTTTGGCACTGGGGTCTCTTAGCACGCGACGGGACTCCTCAGCTTACCAGAGGTCCTCTTCTCAGTGGCTGGGGACTCTCCCCTTCTCGGCTCCTTTCCCCTTCCCTTCTCACTTCCATCAGGGTCCTAGGACAGGCCCCCCCAGCGCCTTCTCCCCCTCAGGGGCTGGGAACCCATTAGAAGTTGCCTCTCACCGGGGACCTTTCTCACTTCAGAGATTCAGGAATCCTTCGTTTTCTTCTAAAACTCTTGTTTCGGAGACCTCCAACTCCCCACTTCTCCCTCAAAGAGCTGGACTCCTTCAGTTTACTTCCCTTAAACATGCTCTTCCCTCGAAAACGTCCACTTCTACCCTCGAAAAATACTTACCTCCCCTCAGACACTACTGCCTTCCTCCTCCTCTTTTCTCCTCTCCCTGGTCACCCGTAATCTCCTCTCCCCTCCTTTTTCCTCCTCTGCATTTTACCCTTCTCTTTGAAGACTCTGGACGAAGCTAGTATTCATAATTTAGCTAGAAATGAAACCCAGATTTGTCTAATTAAAAAACCTTTAAATTTATACCTCTGAGAAAAACCTGTTAAAGAATTTGGACTTTATTCTGTAGACTTGGGGAGCCGTTGAAGGTTTTGTAAGCAGAAGTTTGATATGATTACATTGTCTGTGGTGAAAATGTAGAGGAAGGATTGAAAGTGAAGACTGGAGGCCAAAAACCTAGGAAGGCAGGAAACTAGTGTGCTAATCCAGGCGAGAGGGAATGAACTGGGGTAGTGCTGAGAGAATGACATGCAGTTCCAAGAGGGATTGTCCAAAATAATGTTGAGAGGATTAGTGGGAGGTTTCTGACTTGACTGATGGTGTGAATTGGTAGTGTTAGTTGAAATGGGGAACATAAACAGTTTTGAGGGGAGGTAATAAATTTGGTTTTGGACAAGTTCAGTTTGAGGTGTTTTTCAGATACCACTCAGGGTAGCTTGGAAATTTGGGTCTGAAAATTAGAAGATAGGTTGGAACTGAATACATAAAATTGAGGGTCAAAAGAATATGGGGGACATTTGAAGCCTTAGTGTGAGGTGATAATCCTGAAAGAAGAGAAGAAAAGGGCTGTGGACCAGAAGGAACATCATTGTTTGAAGGGTCTTAGACACTGAAAAAGAGAGGTTAAAGGAAAGGGACAAGAACTAGAACAGAACGGCATTATAATAGAAGCCAAAGGAAGAGTTTCAAGAAGGGAGGGGATG